CCCATAGAAAAACCCAGAGGAGGACTGCTCCACCCGCACCCTGTCCTGGGAGCCAGGCCACCTGATGCTGACCCTCTACGTGATCCGCAGCATGGAGCAGCTGCTGCCTTTCTTCAACCTGCTCAGCCAGGTGTTCAACAGCAAGGCCAGCTGCCGCACAGGTCCCGCCTACACCCGCAACCCCGCAGACGGCTCCTTCCCCGGCCACAAGGAGGGCCACAAACTGGAGAGCCAGAAAGTCTTCTGGAGTCGAGCTCGACAGAACATCGAGGAAATGGTGGAAAAGGACTTTCTAGAAGGCCTCATCAAGACGTGAGAACATGGAGGGGAGGGAGGGGGACTAACACTAGTGAAAAACCTTGTACATTAAAGAACAAGGGAAATACAAATGATGGAAAAATAGTTTGTACATTTTTTTTGTATTTATAATGATTATTTTACTTTTCAAAGGCTATTGTATTTGATTTTAATTATTTGTATATATGGAGCAGCTTTGATGACTGACTTTTAACATTTTATGTGAGTCCTTTTGGATGAAGTGAAGATGCTGTGCCATTCCATATCGATGTGACTTATTAAAGATTTCTAATGGGAGAGTAACACTCTGTCACTGTCGTCATGACGTTTAAAATGTATTTACAATATGCACCTGATGTACTAGATCCTCTGATTGTGTGTGTGCGTGCGTGCGTGCGTGCTGGTGCTGGTGCTGGTAAAAAGATATATCGACATGTCAAATAAGCCTTTTTCACTGCAGACATTTTGATTTGTTGTAGTAGGAAAAGCTCAGGTGTTACCAATAACATTAACGACGGCTCCGTCATCTTCAGACGTCCCAGTGAGCTCTGATGAACCCGCTTTTAAAAACACCAGGAGCCTGAAACCCAAACAGCTAAATGGAATTCATCCGTTATTAATTACACCTGTGCTTTTCCTGCTGTGACACGTTGTGTCTGCTGCGATAAAGACCTATTGAGCCACAGGTTTTGTTGCTGTCCATGGCACTGATCTGTCTTCAGTCAGATTTTCTGCACAAGGTGTGGCCGTGCTGGAAGGAACATTAGCTGATGCACTTATGTGGGAAATCTACATTTGACTCTATCTTCACAGCTTACAGTTAATAGCTACAGTATTTTTTCAGATAAATAAAATATGATGAGCTTATAAAATACAATGATTGTTAAAAATGAAACCAGTGGTTCCCAACCTTTTCGCAGAACTACTTCTTGATCCCTGGGTGGAGAACCACTGGACTAAACTAGCAGACTGTATATAAGGTTGATAAACTAGTTCTACTGACCAGCTACAACAGTAAAATCCTTCTTTGGCTACACATTGTTGAATCAGTATTTACTTTCTAACAAGATAAGAGGCTCATTTATTGTCGTTGTACAAATGTAATTCAATTGATCTGAGTACTTCCACTACCTGAAAACCAGTGATTAACAGACAAATGTCCCACCATTAAGGAGACCACATCAGCACCACGGACAGCGACAAAGGCTGACTGGCTGCAATTCTACGTGATTTGATTTGTTTTGTGCACACATGTTCACTGAGGCAGCCCGCTTCATATGACCTTCATAGTGTGGAAGCATGACGTGAATCAAGCTTGTCTGTAGAGGAGCTGTATTAACCCCTCGCGTCCTCACCCATCCACAACCTCCATCCAGCTCTCGCGATGAAAGAGGCAGCGGCGGGGGTTGGTAATACTGCGTCACCTGACTCAGAGAAGGAGGCGGGTCGAGAAAAATCGAAATAAATTAATAATGAAATAAACAAGAGAATGTAAATCCACCAGAGGCACCGCCATCCAACGACCCGGGCTGAAGCGCGCATCGCCGGGGCTTGCAGGCTGACGGTGGGGCTGCAGCAGAAGAGGAACCGCTGCACTGGATGGTGGGAGATGATGGTAATGATGATGCCATCCTGGACCTGATACACGAGGACCGTAGGACTGGTGGTGGTGAGGATTATCCGGGAGGCTGGAGACAGGGAGGGGGGGAGGCAGCGACACGCATCATCCGGAGAGGACCGTTTTTATCAGGGAGGCTGGCCGACAAATAACACGGAACTGTAAGAAAACTCATCGACAATAAAAGGAACAGTTTAAGATTTTCCAGTTGGATATTTTCTTTACATATTTAGCCAATTGCCTGTATATATTTTCTGAAAGGATACTGGTCTTCAGGGAAGAAAGTCAGTTCACGATTGTTCCAGAAACGCGAGCAGATCCAACGCAACTGACCGGGAATCAGCCAAATCCAGTATTGTTATGCAACTCTAATCATTTGCAGTTCTGTAGGAAGTGTCCTGCTGTTTCTTTCCGAGTAGCTGGGCTTCTGTGGTGCTTTCGAGGGCAGCTGGGATTACTGAGGTCAGTCGTTCATTTCGGTGTGTGTGAGGGGGGTCGGGGGGTAGGACCATAAGTGGACGCTCGGTAGTCGAGGCTCGACTCCACGGAGGGAAAAGATGTCGGGTCAGACGCTGACGGACCGCATCGCCGCGGCGCAGTACAGCCTGACGGGATCCGAGGTCGCCCGAGCTGTGTGTAAAGCCACCACACATGAACAGACACCTCCAAAGAAAAAGCACCTGGAATGTGAGTTTTCTATTACAGATATCTATAGATCTATATATATAAATCTATAGATCTATCTCTCTCTATAGCTCTATCTTATTATGTGTCCTTTCAACCCGCCCATCATCCATCCTCCTCGTGTGCAACTAGGCCACGCTCCAGAGCCATGATGGTTGCCTCCCTCCATCCATTCCTCCAGTGTGTGTTAATGTGCTTCGGGGGGGGGGGGGGGCATCAGCCACAGTGTGTGCTCACATTTACATGTATATACAATCACCCACACACACATTATGCTTGAGGCATACTTTAATTCAGACTTTAATTGAACTACTAACCAAACCTATTACCTAATCACAGCAGGGGTTCTTCCCCCGTTGTTCCGGCAGGTGAGCGCCAGTGTGGAACCAGAAAGGAAGCCACAAAGCCTTAAAACCAGGCACTTAAGCCACACTGACTGGAGCCTGTCTCCGTTGCCCCACTGATAAATACATAATTGAAAGTGGTTTTTGTTACTACATTCAGGCCTTTTCCCTCGGCTCGTGTCCCCCGTGATAGCACAAAGAGGTGTGGGGCACTGCAGCATATATCACTGACTTCTTTTTTTTGTCTTGGTGCAATTTCTTGCTTTGTCGTCTTATCGCTTAGTACAGAACAAGGGAGGGAGATGATGGAGGGTTAGGGCGCCAATTAAATTTCAAACACTGGGAAGGAATGTGGAGAAGGCCTATAAAGCATTTGGAAAAGGGCTTAGTGCGAACACAAATCATAGATATGAACACTTATCTACTGATCGATGCAATGTCATGTTACAGTCAATATCCCCAGTGAGCATCCTGACATAAAGTTGATTCAAAATGTCAAAGAATGATGCGCTAACACACAAATGATAGCCTGTGTCAGTGAGTGGACGTAAGGAAAGATGTTTAGGAAGGTGAACAGTGTTCGGGTGCTGGAAGGGTTTGCTCTGGATGCACTTGAACGCAGCATCTCACCAAATGGAAGCCTACTACTGGATCCGGGGTTTAGCTTTTCTAATAGCTCATTTTGTGTTCGCTTACATGTCACTGAACATTTTAGTTATGTCCAAGGCTTCACATTAGCCCAATACACTGAGTAAGACCCCACCACCCTTATCATTCTATTTGACATTGATTTATATCATGTATCATATCATACGTCTGTTTAAGGAACTTTGGCAGTCAATTAGTGAAAAGCAGGCTAAAGGAGGCTAATGAGTAGCCCTGAAAAGGGTGTTAGCTCAGTGTACCGTAACTTCTAACGACGTTAACTTTAAAGTCTTGACGCACGGAAATATCTGTATTCTCAAATGTAAAGACAAACATTATGCTATTCTGAAAACATACTAACGTTTGAGAAACAGTTGGATGGACTTGAATGATAACACAGAGGAGACTAGTTCAAAAGGGTAGCGGTGAAGGAAGCAAAAGGAATTGACGGTGGAGACCATAGAAGAAGATACTTTGAACTTGAACCTCGTGCGATTATATTAACAACAGGTGACTGTACAGACGACCTAGTTACGGCAGACATGCACTGTGGCATCACATGATGAGAGCCATCCTAGCGTCACACCGTCATCATCTCCTCAGTATGACATCCGAAAAGACGGCAGCAAGTTCAACTTGGCAATCTCCAACCCAGCGGGAGAAATCGATCCGCTCGTCTGCTCGTGTCCAGACTGAAAAACTAAAAGTGAATGATGAACCGTGTTAAATCATAGCACGGCAAAGTGGAAAGCTCGCCCACTTGCCAAAGTTTGTGTCAGCACTTTGTTGTGGTGAGTTTTAGAGGAAGCACTGCCCACCACCTATCACCGCTCTCTCAGTCTCCAACAAAGAGATTTTTTAGTCTTTCACACATTGTGTTGCAGTTCGCCTGTACTTAAAGTGAGAATATGTATCTGTCAAAAGAAGATACAACTCCAACCTCCTCTTACTTAGTGAAATGTTGATTAGAAAGAAGACACTCTCTTGCATATTTCCTTACACACAGAGGTTTAGCTTCTACAGCTTTACTTGGTCTGGTATGAACATTAGCTTGTAGTGGTTAGCACACTTTAGAATAGACAGCTATGTCATTGACATAAGTAAGTCACTTTGTTAACTTTTTTTCTTTACTTACCGTTTGATTTGATACAAATAAACATGACTTTGTATTTAAAGCAGCTGCTTTAAGATAATCTTGGGAAATGAAGGCAAATTCAGTGTCTTGTTACCCTTCAATTGCCACTTGGGGCCACGGGGCCACTGCTCAGCAAAAGTTAGCTTTGCTTAAAAGCTAAATATGAAGAGGAAAACTCCAAAGTAAAACTAATAATTTGACCTGATTACCATCTTTTAATCCAAACTCGGGCTCCCGGTATTGCTGTTAGCAGTGTCGTCAGGGGGGCGTGGCCATTCGGAATGCTTGATTATTCTGAGATTGCTTGGCACCCCAAAGTGCCGCTCACAGCCTTCTCGAGAACCGCTCATCACGCAGTGATTCCAGGAAAGTGAAGAAGAGTGTTTATGACGTCAGTGTTTGCAACCAGCAGTGAAAGGGAACTGCAGTCAGTGAGCTGCTGGCTTCATTCCGCAGAGCCCCGAAGCTCCGCCCCTACTGCTGCATGGCCACTATCACTTGTTTATTCAATGGAAATAAGTCAAGGTGACTGAATTGCAATATCCTGATGCATTTTAGTACCGCGTGCACATTTGTGTATTCTATTTGTAATATATCAAGTAACACAAATGCAGAGATTCCTTGCTTTATAGTCAGATGCCGAAACAGCTCAGTTTAGTTAAGCTAAAAAGGCATCTTGTGTTTATTTAAATGGGAAGTCCTTCAGTTTAAGCAGAGGAGAGGTTTGCTTGATCACTTCAGTGAGCCGCTTCATAAGTAAAGGATTTGCCGAAATATGTGAAAAGGTGTATTAATGTCGCATTTGAGGAAGGGCCTCTGGGATATTGTCTGACAGTATATCTAATTTCATCCATGGCTGACATTTACCCGATGTGCTGCTTGGGGCGACCAGAGTCCAGCTCTTTTCTTGTGTGACCACCAGCAGAAATATTCCTGTTGCGGTTGGAAAGATGGTATCGATTGCTCTCTTACTTATTAAATCCTTGATTTATTCCATATTCTTGGGCTTCTGGTTGTAATCTGAAGAGAGCTGCTACTTACATTCAGGCTGATATGTGACGGTAGCAGATAAATTAAGAAGACTAAAGGTCAATCTGACCGGCGTTATCATAACAATATCGTGCATTTAACCTAACTACGACATTTCCAAACAACTTTTAGAGAAATAATGTGTTCCGTTATCTTAGTCCTAAACCCAGGCAGGTCTCGACAGATCCGTGTCCATGATCTAAAATAATCTCTTATAGATTGTTCCACTGCTGGCCACATGTGTATTGGTCTGTTGCTCAGCTGATCTAGTTCATGTGACATCCAGAGAGCAGCAGGCCAGTAAGCTCCTCATGCTGTGACCCCAAAAGCCCCAAACAGAGACAGAGAAATCAGAAATCAGGGAGCTTTTCGACGGATTCAGGTCTTTCAGCATCTATATGCACCATAAATAGAAAACGTCTGTGATGCAGGTATGAACAGACAGATATTTAGTCTAAAACAAACCTTTAGAGACGGGTTCGTTAAAGGGAAAGATTAACCACCTTTGTATCTAGATATCCATTTCGTGATGATGTCCATTGAAGCAATACATTCCTCAGTGCGAGCCATAAGGGCTGAGAGAGCTGAGTTCTTCTGCTTGCGGAGCCTTGCCGACAGAGCCTACATGTACCAGGATGCATTGCACGCAAGCTACCAACACCCACCCAAAACAGTGTAGCCGAGTTGCACCTAAACTTATGCTGATAATAAAATACAAACAAGGAGGCTTTGTGTCCGAACCAGCATGAATCAGGAAGGAAACATTTCTTTATTATTCCACATTGTCAACAGCAGCTCATTACAGCTTAGTTTCTCCCGTTTTTGCCTTTCACAATAAAAGCCCATCTTCAGTTCACTCAGCATCGCTCAATGGTCACCTGACAACGGTCTCATCCACATAAAAGGTGGCGATTTATCCCTTTCAGGTTCAGGATAGCGGACTGTAACCAAATGGTTTTGTGTCTACTGGCGATAAACCGCCGACAAGTAAAGGCTAGAAGAAAGAAGCAATCCCAGTAGTAGCACAATAGTACTTATGTGTCTCTACAACACACATTCGCCATTTATTTTAGGAGCCTGACAGATGATTGCGATACAGATCAGAAGTCCTCTAAACTCTTAAAAGATTAGAGATCAGGCAGCAGCACAGATTGCCTGACGCCACACCCGGCCTGAGTGTGTCTTACAGAAGGCTCTTGATAGCTTACTGGCTCCACGTGTGAGTGCGTGCGCGGCTTCACATGCACAACGTTGCAAGTGTTTGCCACATGCCA